TTGCACCAAAAAAAGCACGTTTCCAAGAGCTCTCATTTAGAGAACTACAATGAGACTTACACTGTCTATAATTATAAATGGCTTGCTAGAAGGTGAAAGTTAATTTCCATTTCAAAGGGCTAACAAATGAAATTGAGAAAAGAGGTCAGCGAATCGTCACGATTTCTTGTATCGATTTCTTGTTTTTCGCAGTATTCAGTCTGGAAAAAATACAGAAACTGTGCATGAAAACATTAGATGAAGAGTGTATTATTCATTCTAACTAGGAGACGCGAGACCGCATTGCACACTTTGCCTAAACAAGCCTAATTGTGTACGTAGCAGGTTTATGATTTTTATTTATCTCGTCCAGGTTTATTCATTCCTCGGAAACAGGGAAGAACAGACTGAGACTTGTTGAGACAATGTCCGCAATGCGGTCTCGCGTCTCCTAGTCATAGAATAGATGATATGTGTGTGACAAGTTTGAGCTTTCTAGAGATTTTTTGAGTATAGTGTCGAACTTTTTTCGAGTTTCCGGTTTCTGAAAGTTTTTAGATTTTGATTGTGTTAACTTAACATGTAACTAACTTTGTGCAAAAGCTTCAGAGGCACTTTGTAGAGCTTACTCTGCTTGATCAAATATATCCCAGCGCTCTTTTAGGAGTCAAGAAAAATGGGAGCTAAATAGGATGAAAAATGAAAACGGACAAAACGTGTGAGACAACTAATATTATAGCACAAATTTGTGTGTTGAAAGCTAATTACATCTTCTATATGAAGCTGAATGTTCATCTGTTTGTTTGCATGTTTGTGTATATGGTAGCTAATAATAAAAGCCGGAACCGATAGGGACCAAATTTTGCAGATACACTTTGAGGCGGGGCGGGTGTCGTAGGCTACTTTTCGTCATTGATCGACATCAGTTTTATCGATTTTTTGCAAACTTTTACCTACAAGGCTGGAGGTCGGCACAGAGGGTAAGCGGGCACGCTGATTACGAAAATACTAGGTTGTTTGGAAAATAATGTCGCATCGTTTTTTATCATGCAATATCGCAGAGGCTCGCGCACGAAAGTAAGCAAGAAGGGTATCAACCGATAGATCAGAGTAAGCTCTACAAAATGAAGCTCGAACTTTCGCGCCAGGTCTGAATTGCATGAAGTTAGGAGCCAAATTTCATAAGGCATTAAAGACCTAAAAAAGAAAAAAAATCGTATCTCCGTTCAGAAAAGTCCTAGGAAACCCTGACTTGCTTATGGATGGACTCCCTATACGAGACACTCGTGCGCAAAATTTCCCGGTTTTTTCATGGCTGGAAACTGAGAAAACGAAATTCGGCATATTTTTGCCAAAGCAATCCTGAGCTTCTTTCACATGGGTGATTCTATAGTATGAACCTTTAGAAGTATAACCTTGAATTTTCAGCTTCAGACAAACGCTAGTTTCGAGAAAAATCAAATTGTTTGCAAAAATCGCGAAAAACGCGACATAATCGCACTTTTGACCTATTTTTGTTGGTCGTGCTGTAGCCATAGAAAGATACCACAAACTATACAGGCGAATGTCTCGTGTGAAGAGTACTTGCCTGTGCAGTTTGGAGATCCCTAAGAAGTCTATGAACGAAGATACGATTTTTTGGGTATTTGAAATTTTTTATATTTTGGATTCGAACTTCAGGTGGAGCAAGATTTCCGCGGAGGTTTGTAAAATACCTTGTAGAGCTTGCTTTACTCTATCAAATGATATCCCATTCGCCGTTTTTTGCGGTCCTTCTTTCGCGGTAGGATGCCGTGTGATATTGTTTTCCGGACAACGAAATATCATTGACAAGGCCTGGCGGATTCGAGTTTGTTAGTTAGTGTTTAATAAACATGTGCTCATGATCGGTTTTTACTGTAAATAATTTGAAATTTTAAGAATTTAATTCCCCTCCCCCCCTTTCTCCGAACAGAAATTTCGGGTAGCCACTGTTACAAGAGTAGGTTTTACAAGATTAAGACATTACGATTATTCCCGTAGGACATCCCGATATTGATCGGAGGATATCGCTCAGAACACACGGTTTTCATGCGCTCTTTAGTCCCGGCACAAACCCAGATGTGCCGATTTTTTTCCCGTCACTAATCTCCTGAATCGCGCATACATCGAATGAGGTCAGTTTGTCCTGCGGGAGTCAATGGCAAATGTCTGAGAAAGGAAAATCGCAAACATTTTTGAGCGCACACCTGACTTGCTTACATGGGTATGAGGGTAATTTTCTTGTCAGGAAAGGCATGCTGTCTTGTGGAACTTTTTTACTTTTATATTTTAGGGCAAGGCCAAGCAACCTTTTACAAGTGCTTAGTTTTACCTATCTGCTGCCCTTAAATCGCTACTCGCTCGTATTGTTCTTTGCTTCGCACTCAACAGAAATCATTTTTCTTGAAAGCGGCGACTTCGTTTCCATTATTGAGGAAAAGCGTTGAATTGTACATAAGAAGCTTTGGAAACTCAAAGCTCTCTAAATGATCCTGACATGCACAAAAGCACATGCTTCGTAATGCGGAAGTCGCTACATGTGTGATTCGCAATGACCGCACTTAAAGGCAGTGGCTTGGAAATATTGTGACTGTGATCTTTCCACAAATTCTTGGCCTTCTGAATTCGCTGAGTTTGGGACTGTGCTTGGAATATCAATGTTGATGATTTCTGTAACAACAACCATTGATGAAATGTATATTCTACATATCCTACGGAATCCCATAGGCTTAATGGTGAGCTACTCACTCTTGAGTATCTAATCACTCGAGAGTGAGTGGTACCTGTGCGCCAGGAGTGTAGTCAATCGGCGGCATTTGCTTTTAAGCACCAACTCGTATACAGTCGATTAGATTCAGCGGTAAATATTGTGTGCTTGCACAGAAGGTGAAATGCGGTAAAATTGGCGCGTGAAGAAATAGCTTCGACTGTGACGCCGGCCAATTGCGCGCGCAAAATACCCGCAGTAGTGGCGTGGCTACTTGTTCACGCGCAAATTTCACCGCATTTCACCTTCTGTGCAAGCACACTATATTTACCGCTAAATCTACTCGACTGTACTCTCGTATACTTTTTCCTTGCATTCGGTTTAACTCCGCTTTTCTTTGTATATAAGGAGCCTCCTAATGTATTAGGGGTTCCTCCCCGGTTCACACCGGGACACTCGAAGATCGCTTTCAACTAATCTATGTCAGTGTGAATAAATATTCCACACCATTCTGTCCACTCTACTTCACTTGGTACACCAAATTGGTGCATCGTCCAGTGAACTTCCTTGCATTTTCCCTCGGAAATGAAGGCTCAAAAGACCCGCGTAGCAGGACTCTGAATATTGAAATTCTCGTTGTGCATGTCAACCGCGCCCCCTCTCTCTCGGTCCCGCGACACGCGAGTCCGTTACTGAAGGGGCCTCGGCTGGGCTTTCGGCTCCGACTCCACCCAAGGAAGTTCACAAAACATTCATAATTCAAATTTTTTTACTACTCAAAAATTGCAAGACAAAATATACTACTTAAAAACTCTGGATGAAGAGGTCCTTAAAGGCAGTGTCCCGGCAGGTTCAAGGTTGGCGAGATTTCGCTGTAGAAGAATTCGTGGCCACCTGAGCGATCCTCAGACCAAGTTTCGCCGGGTAATTTCACCCCTCCTCCGAGAAAACGCCCTCAAGCAGGCGCGCGCAGCTCCATTCGGCGCGCGCTCGGACGAAGCAGCAATAACTTTGCTGCGCGTAGTTTCCGCGCAAGCACAGTCCATGTCAATTGAAGCGTCGTTGCCAAAAATTATTTCTTGTTCTGCTTTTCGATGCAAGTGTTGTAAGGAAGTTTTATCTTTATTTCACGATTTGCTCGAAACTTTTCCAGGTTGGTAAGAGTTTAGAGATTTGTACGCTGCTAAAGTAGTTGTGAAGTTCATTTTAATGCTCAATGGGACAAAATAGACATGCCTTCTAGACAGAGGTGGTCGTAAAAGTTTTCGGAATGCAGGCTGAGAGCCTACCATGCACGAGTACACGCTCAAAAGCAATCATTAATCCCTATGCAGTATTCTTACTTGATTTCACTAAACGAGATCTGTGGATCTTCGTTTTTCACGCTTCTTACTGACACACATTAGTGCTAATTTTTATCTATTTTCGAACTTGTATAGCGATTCACTTTAACAGTTGTACTACAAATAAGCATCTCGTAATATCTCTCATCTTTGGTTTATCACAGCTGTAGATGGAAATCAAGAATTGAAAAGCTGGTTTGGTACCTCAAATCCATGAAATGCTTTCTCGCAGCTAATTCCCATTACAGCCTGTTTACGTGTACAGAAAATACTAAAACAATTCATTGAATGAAAAGTGAATCAGGTTCCACCAGATTTTTACAACCATAAGGAATTCAAACAACAGCGAAACACTGGTGGTTGTTATCATTCCTACGCATTCCCACGTTGCTGCGTGCTTCTTTACAACGGATGTCCTATGCGTTTGTAGACATAAACCCTTTCTCGTTACTTCCTGAAAGTACGAACGTCAGCAAACGACAGGGTCCGCGGTAGAATTCCCCGTTTTGATCAATAAGTATATTTTTTGTGTAAATTTGCCAAGGAAAAGATGTTGTTGTTGCTTCTAATCGCTATCGCTACACAGAATTTGGAGAAAAATCGTGCAATCATAGGAATTTTTAGACACAAACGAAATGGTCAAGAGATACTGTTGCATCATATGCGGAAATAAAGTCGAAGAGAGCTTAACAACACGCTCGTCGAAGAAACAAGCCCACAACGCGGTCTTCTTATCTGCTTTGAAGATCTATACCTCGAGCGCGCAGGAACTGCTAGAGCTTTACTTCGAGACCTTCGCTCGAAAGCAGAAATACATATGCATAACGCATTTTATAAATGCCGTAAGTTTATTGTAAACCTCCAACAGAATCAATAATATCAATATTACGCGCAATATCTGCTGGCTGAAGTAGTCGTAAGCGGTGGGCGTATATCAAAAACGATAAATGATGTTCTACGTGACTGAAAGAGACATTCCTGAACATCTTCTACGCAGCATCAACGTCGCGATCGAAACCTTCTCTGTTAGTGTCATTAACTAGATCAAGACAAGTCATATGACATTTTCAAGGTCAATACCACCGTAGCCGCCCCAGATGTAGTCCAATACATCAACTTTTACATGCAAAAATATTTCGGTCGTAAAGGCTGGAACATTCTTGACGCGAATTTCCCAGAGGAGGAGGAAATCGAACTTCTAGAGGTGGTCTTTGTTCTCAAAAATGTGATAAATCATCGATGTTTAGGCAGCGGAAGGGGCAGGGGAAGCACAACAAGAAGTAGATCTCAATCGTTCCGAAGAGTTCATGGACCAATCAATCCTGAGCACATCCGTGAAACACGCAGACTCGGGATCTTCTTACAAAGCTACGGTCAGAAAGAATGGAAGCAGATAGCTGAAGCTGCTTCCGCCTATTAGTCAATAGATGACTAATTGATTCTGAACTCAGAGCGATTCCAACTACACTCCCGAAAAAGAGCCGCGAGAATGTTCCGACAGCGACGCATTTCCAGGGCTTGATGAAACAAAACCTCACCTACTGGACAAGTACTATCTAGTCCAAGGAAGAAAACTTATGGAGCTATTTTATCTCAACCTTTGTGGCTGCGATAACACCGGAGGAACAGTGCGCCTTCTCAATTCGGGGTCCGCCCCCATCATAGAATATGTCTCGAAGGAAGGAACATCAGTCAAGAGGTGGGAGGGGCAGGAAAAGCTAGGCTCTAGACCGAATGATAAGCTATACAGCGGTAATGCGATTGCTTGTGCCGCCGCCCTCACAACCGGAGCGCGAATGAATGTAATGCTTACAACTCACTTGACACTGACACTGAATATATACAAACAGATGTATTTCAGAAAATTCAGAAATGGGCAGAAGAGGCAAATGTATTAGTAAATTCGAAAACGGCATTTTATTGCATTTTTGATGAGTTGGCTACCTCCGTGGACATAGTCTATGAGAAACATCAGAAAAACGTCATCCAAAAAATCCGCGCGGCGTATGAGGTATATAAATATCTGAGAACTGCGAATCAACAGCCGAAAACGAATTTAGGACGATGGGGTACCTACTTCATGGAATATCGCCGTCGACGGCGCATTCGACTCACGCGGATTTACTGCCAAAATATGCAGGGTTTTGGCTGTCGACCTTCGGACAAACCTCTGCATACACACAGAGGTTGTTCATTACTCGGAAACAGGTTAGGAAGAGGATCTCAAACGTACGAGTATCCAAATCCATTTCTTCTACAGCAAACATAAGCGGAAGAATGGAGAAAGAAGGCTTCCGCCGCATGCTACGGTGGTTGCGATCGAATGATATCCCGATTCATTCGATCGCAACCGACCGTAGCAGCATGTACGGAAGCGAGATAGCCTCCTTCAATGGTGTATTTGACAAAAGTGTCGAATGGTTCTTTGACCCATGGCACCTCGGAAGATACCTGTATAAGAACCTACGCGCGGTATATATCAGCTTAAAATCTGTCCTACTACCATATGATTGCAAATTAAGGCGCAAAAGCGAGGGATTGTGCGTCGATCAAAGACTGGGTTGAAGACATTGAAACCCATCTATACTATTCCATAGCGGTAGGAGCAGCATCCCACAGTGGCGAGCTCATTTGTCATGTTTTCAATACGTGTCTGCACCATGTCGCCAATGTGCATGAATTTGACGAGGTACAAATTCTAATTCATGACACTGCCCAAAAAAAGCTTACAGTATGACATTACTGGGACCCTTACAAGCTGCCTTCATGATCCGGAGATAGCGGATGAAAAGAGAGAGAAGCCGACGCTTGACGTCGGAAGTGTGGCTCACACGAAGTTGAAGCAAATAGTTTTGCAGCCAGCGTTTCAGGAAGCTCTCGCACAGGCTAGTCCTTACGGTGGGACTAGTCTGAGCGAAAGCAAAAACTCACTGGACCGTTTGTACTGTCCAAAAGAATTATTTCTGTGAGTGAGGGATCCCAAACTGGAGATAGCTACCACAAAATAGATGATAGAAAAATTTTCAGGCGATTTCTCACCTACCCCCTATATACAAAGATGTCAACTATGCATATGAATGCTCTACGGGAGGCGGAGATGAGCGGAGAACGCTTAGTACGGCGCGTCGAAATTGTCCATCGGAAGTTTACTAGAAGGGCGAGAGTTCAACCTCAGAAAACGCCAGTCTCACACCTATGGAGGAAAGAGATTTACATGGATTTTCTAACGAGGCGCTTTCCGCATGAGCAGTGTCAGGAAGAAGAAATGGATGTAACATGATGTCGGGTTTACCACGAAGTTGGACGATGCCATACGATAAATTGTAGAAGGTGCTGCCGCTTACACCGCAAATCAATAAGAATTTGCATCAAAATAAAGCAAAAAAATAAGAAAAGGAGAATAAAATAGAAAAGGAAACTAAAAGTTGAATGGTAAAAAAAAACTAAATTTACTTACTGACAAGAATACTCTGCCTCTTCAGCTTATCAGTAAAACTCAGTATGCTTTCATATTTTGTAGTAACAACGGAGAAGGAATTGCGTTAATCTCCTCCTGCAACTGCATAAGAGCATAAATACGTATGGAGTAGACAAATACAAGGAAATATGGCCGACGCTCAATATACAAAGAAAAAGAAATAGAAAGTACGCTGCCGCTTTTTGTCATACGACATTCCTTGCAACGCCTTTTTTCTGCCGTCTGCGTCTCTCAGCGCGCTTTCATCACTCGTCCTTTCTAAGAAAATAAATGTGCGAAAACTCGAGATTTGATAGAATTGAGCAGTTTTTCGCATGAAATCGTACTCAGGGGGTGAGAAAGTCACATAATGATGCAAAATATGGATGAGTGAAATCTGCCGGGACACTGCCTTTAAGGGGCCTCAGAGAGAAAATTACAAAGAAAAGAAAATGGAAAATCTAAAGCATAGATCCGCCGTCCGATCCGACCATGGCCAAAGGGCCGGGTTATTTATACAGACAAAAAACAGCAAGCTATCAGCCAAACAATACAGAAACAATACAACATTATCCACAGAGGCACATCATTAGACAAATTAGAATCTAAATTTGGCAATCAAGCTCGATGATGTACTTTCCGACCACTTCGGCTTTTGCATTTGCAGAGTATCACGAAATAATAGATCCTGTCTCCATTGCATCTGCATCCATCTGCCGCATACGTTCTGCCATTCTTCTTCCATGTATTGATGTGCTGATCTTACACGCGCTCTTTTCGTAAGAGACCCGAGACAGTAAAAAACAGTTGTTGAGCAACACCACTAAATATTGGCACCCTCGTTGCGCGCTCTTTTCGTAAGAGACCCGAGGGCTAAAAAAACAGTCGGTTCCATAACTCCACTGCAAATTCAACCCCTTTTGCGAGCTCTTTTCGTTAGAGACCAGAGGGTAATAAAGGACCAGCTGGCAGTAGCTAATCACTTAATTTTTGAAAACTTCCTTTGCGCGCTCTTTTCGTAAGAGACCAAGGAGTGGGAAGAATTTTGTGCAGCAAACACCACCACAATTTGTAAAACTCTTTTCGCGCGTCCTTTTCCTAAGGAACCAAAGAGTAAATCAGTTTGTGTGTGCACTTTCAATCTCTCTAATCTCTTCGCGAGTCCGGCAAAGGAACCAAAGCTAGAAAAAGAGATTTTGAAGGAAGAAAGAACAAGTCGAGAACCGCAAATCTTGCTTGTTAAGCTTCGAAGTTAGCCAAGAACTCAAGCTTTCAATCCTCATGGGAAAGGTTCAACACACCTTACCGCCCAGCACAGCGTTCATGCCAACCAACGCTTGCTGACAGCTAGTAGAAGCGCGGCACCCAATTGCCAGCTCACTAAGCGACTTCTTTGCATCTAGTAAAGACAGTTTTCGTACTAGATTAGCCCTGCTGAAAACATAAAAGCTACATCGAAGCCCCAGCCTTCTGTGGACCAAAGAAAAGTTCAAAAAGGAAGACACAAGGAGCATTACAAGATGACGTCACTCCAACTTTTCAAGATCAGGATCAACAACGTCTGCAAACTCGTGAAATCCCACGAGTCACAAATCGACACTATTGATGTTCGCTTCACATTCCCCACACTGAAAGATAAATGTGAGCAGACATAAAAGACTACATCTACTACTACTTACATCTAGCAAAATGAAAGCTACATCATTTATTTCTATAAGTTAAGTAGTAAGGGGCGGTAGAGATCATTTACATTTTGCGGTGAGGAGGGTGCGGTGTCACGGAGCGAGGCGGACAAGAAAAAAGGCAATCTCACAGCGGCGCTGCAATTCAACTCGGAGCTGAAGCAGGAAAAGAAGGGATGATATGAACTCAAAGAAGAGGGGTGGTAAGCCATAAATGATTTGAACTGGACACTGTGGGGTTTTGAACCCTCCGGGCTGGACCGGGGACGGCAGCTAGTATTCTATATACCCTAAGGGAATCGCCGTAGGCTAAATGGTGTACTCACTCTAGAGTATCTAATCACTTGAGAGTGAGTGGTACCTGTGCACCAGGAGTGTAGCCAATCGGGGCATCTCCTTTTAAGCACCAACTCATATACTTTGTATCTTGTATTCGGTTTAGCTCCACCTTTCCTCGTATATAAGGAGCCTCCAAATGTATTAGGGGTTCCCCCCCCCCCCCGGTTCACACGAGACACCTCGATGATCGCTCTCAACTAATCTGCGTCAGTGTGATCAAATATTTCACACCATTTTGTCCACCCTACTTCACTTGGTAACACCAAAATCAAAGAATGTTTTTTATGGTGTTTTCCGGCCCCGGTGATTGCTATGAAGGTTGAAGGAGAGATTTCTGCCAAAAGTGAGTGGCTGCACGAGCCAATCAGCCAGTTGCCGCCAAAATGGGTGGAGTTACAGTGTCGTGCAGCCACTCGCTATTTTTGGCGGGAATCTCCCCTTCAGCCTCTTCAGCAATCACCGAGGCCGGAAAATGCGATAAAAAGCATTTTTCAAACATTTCAAGCGCAGTCTTGAAATCAGCGGATCCAGAAGGCCAAGAAGTTGTGGAAAGCTCACAGTCACAGCTCTTCAAGCCATTGCCTTTGAAACTCTAGAAATGACTTGCTGCTTGCATTGCATGGCTGTGGTAAGAGTTTGGTAATAATTGATAAGCTTCTATAACCCAATAATGAGCTATAGATTAATCTCTATAGACCGGGGATACTAATACTTAAACAATGTGTAGTACACCATATTGGTCAGAGACTTTGAGGGTTTGTGCATTTATGTGCTACCTATGAACTCGTTGTGCTTGAACCGATTGAGCTAAAGCGGAAGTGATTGCAACGTTTTATCTCAGTAAATTCAAACACGTCCATAGCATGATAACCATACAAACACATTTCCTGCTCTCTATATACTTTTGAGAGTATACATACACTGCTTAATACAATGTTTCTTGCCCGATGTTTTTCTCCAATTTTTATGTCCATTTTGTGATTTGACATCAACTCAGATCAGAGGTGCGATAGGGGGAGCCAAGTCTCCCCCTACCTTCACTTTTGAGCTGGTACGGGGTGACCACCTTCACTTTTGGAATAAAAAATTTTTCGCTGGACGACAAAGAAGGAAAATAAGCAAAACAAACGCAAAAAAGATTATTGAAAGCATATATTTATGTATACGGCGGCATATATATTTAAAATAAAGGTTTTTAGTAAATGGTGTATTTGGAAGTAAAGCTTAGCAAAACTGTACGGATTTTATTAAGCAAATTTTGTTATAACGTACAGCGAAGAAAGTAGATCGATCCAGGCAGTAACGGCGGAGAACCAGAATTTTGAATATTTAAATAGTGAAAAATCATGCGAAATTTCCACTGTTATAAATCTGTTGTTTGAAGATGTCAGCAGTTGCGACTTCATAGGTTTTGAAGGGTAGATGTTGCTCTATCAGCTAGTGAAGGAATCGGGTCGATTTAAGAGATAGTCGTTGAAAACCAGAGTTCTAAAACTTTACGCCATTTTTGCGTGTTTTTTGACTGTTGAGAGTTAAACTCTTATAAATCTTGAATGTGGAAGTGTATGATGTTGCAACTTCATAGGTTTTATAGAGTAAGGTTTGCCTTATCAGAATATGTCTTGTCCGTTCCGATCCATTGAAACACCTCCGAGATCCAGAGTCATGAAAAAGCAGGTAAAAAAGAGCTTTTTGAACTTCAACAGCTCATAACTTCTTCAGAACTGCATGAATCATGTTGCGACTTCATAGGTTAGATTCCTCTCATCAAGGGCTTTCAGATGATATATAATATGTGGGAGTTTCGCGCCTCTTACGGCATATGCCCGGGGGGGGGGAGACTTTTTAGGCCAAAGTCTCCCCCTCGCCCATTTTAATGTATTGGCTGGAGGCTGCCGGGGGAGACTTTGGCCTAAAAAGTCTCCCCCCCGGGCATATGCCGTAAGAGGCGCGAAACCCCCACATATTATATATCATCTGAAAGCTCTTGACGAGAAGAATCTAACCTATGAAGTCGCAACATGATTCGTGCAATCCTGAAGAAGTTATGAGCTGTTGAAATTCAAAAAGCTCTTTTTTACCTGCTTTTTCATGACTCTGGATCTCGGAGGTGTTTCAA